AGCAATAGTTCTAAGCTCGCCACCGTCGTCAGGTGATGTTACGCCGATGCACGGTGTTCGGTGGCGAGCTTTGGGCTGGGCGGAGCCTACGCGCTGTGAGGTCGCTACAAGCACTTCGATATGTTCACGGCAACTACTGCTGTTTAGAAACATAGAATGGGTCTATAGAAAAGTATATTATTAAGTGACATTATTCCGTGCCACGTCGGGATGACACCGTACGGAGGTGACGTAACATTTATCGCTTGCATAGTTCATTTTGAGAGACGCTGTAAAAAGTGCAAAATAATATGTGCTGAAGCTTTGAATAGAGTCGAGCTCACAATGGCCTTTCTTGGCTCGTGTGCCTTCCTCGCGCAGACCGGTCCTGGCCCCTTTTCACGTTTTGCTGACAGGAAACCAACCCGTCTTGACAGCACACCCTCGCTTGGAATGCGCCGAAATGTTTTCGTCCCTTTCACAAAGGCCGAAAAACTTCAATATTGATGACGGTCGTAACAAAGTATTTTCGGTGAAATTTTTGGGCAGCCATAAAAAATTTGATATTGTTATCATTATAAAAGACGACACATATTAAACTTCTAGCCGACAGTCTAAGAAGAGGCTTTGGTTGCTTTAAACCTCTCGCCTATAGTGACAATATACAAAAATTTTCTGATCCCCTCACTACGGCGTCACTCATAATCATATTTATTTTTATTTTTTTATTTTTATTTTCAGATTTACTGCCAGCCTTTAAAAAGGCCTTTGGCAGGAGCGGGCAGAACAATAAAAGAATACGAGAACATACGCAAATACGTCCACAAAAACAACCGCAACAATGAGCGGGAACAAATAAAAACAAAAAAATATACAATTACGCAATCAAACAAAGTGACAGCAGGTACTTTTAACAACTTGTTTGGTACCAAGCCAGACCTACACTGATAAAAACTATTAATAATATACAAGACATGACTGGAAAGTCATGTCCTGTATATAAAAAAAGGAATAAATTGTTTAAAAAAATTGAGGGCTCGTCCGGGATTGAACCCGGGACCTCTCGCACCCGAAGCGAGAATCATACCCCTAGACCAACGAGCCGACATGCGCAGTGGCTGCTGTCCACTCAAAGAAGAACCGAAATTTTTATCTGGAAGCTTTATCTGAAAGTGTTATCTGAGAGGGGTCACACGACGCCGGGAGTGCAGTACCAGTTTTTTTTCCCGCTCACCCTCGTCGTAGCCGCCGCCTTCACCGTGTTGTCCGCAAAGCTGGGAAATTGCATGGCTGATAGAACGGCGTTGAGTTTCGCGGTGGAAACCAGCGATTGACTTTGGACGAAGGGTTGCGCCTGTACGGCAGCATGTAGAGCAACGTTCCTAATAGTCGGTAAACGTTGCTGCAATAGAAGTTCTAGCTTTGCTAGCTCTGAAGGTGTGTACAAAGACAACAATCGGATAGAACTACGCAAGATTTCAAGAACAATATAATGAAATTTGTTACAGAAAATGGGCACGGTAAGGATGAAAGGCAGAAGTGTGTGGTGGAAAGGAAAGTACGTCATTCTGAGACATTCTGTTGCGACAATTAGTTGTCTTTCATCTTCTGTAACCACAGAAGAACTACAGCTTTCTTTTCTCCTTAAAAAAAGAGAAGCTATTCATTAGACCTATAGTCCTTAGCAATAGTTCTAAGCTCGCCACCGTCGTCAGGTGATGTTACGCCGACGCAGGGTGCTCGATGGTGAGCTTTGGGCTGGGCGGAGCCTACGCGCTGTGACGTCGCTACAAGCACTTCAATATGTTCACGGCGACTACTGCTGTTTGAAACATAGAATAGGTCTATAGAAAAGTTAAGTGACATTATTCTGTGCCACATCGGGATGACACCATACGGAGGTGACGCAACATTTATCGCTTGCATAGTTCATTTTGAGAGATGCTGTAAAAAGTGCACAGTAATATGTGCTGAAGTTTTGAAAATATTCCGAGTGCAAACTCAGTATTGCCTCTACGCTCGTATACAGTCTGGAAAATTTTAGTGGCATCAGCCAATTACAAAAAATGCTGAGGACATGAAAAAAAAGCTAAATAAACCACACTGCGCATTCGTTAGTGTAAGCGGCTAATAAATATCGTATATATAAAAGGAGAAAGCATTAAGTGCGCTCGAGGCAATATTAAAAGTATTCTTTTACAATAAACATACCTGCGATAATAGAGAATGATTGTACTCTTCTAATAACCTCGATTCCAGATTACTCTCACGATTAGACAAAAAAAACTAATCAATTCTATGTTTTCATACTTTTTATCTAGCTTTTTTTGCAATTTTCTCCGCCACGTAACATATCGTGGACCAAAACAGTGCCCCGTCGATACACCCGTCTCATCTTTTGTCGACAGTGCAAAACATTGTCGTACTTCCGCTTTCACTTTTACTTGTTTTTTTTTCTTTTTTGTTTTTGCATGTATAAGTACTTACTGCAGCACATAGTAACCGTCATCAGCGCTTTGGTCCACTGATCACTTTTTGAAAATATTTACGAGGTTCTCGTTTTGCCGCAGATATTACGAGTCTTTGTTCTCGAGCCCCTTCATCGATCACTCCTTATTGTCTTTTTTTTTTGTTCATGACCTTTTGCTGTGCAACGGATAAAAATTAGCAAGCACCAGACAAAATGAAAGTAATGCAAGTCTTCGGAAAATTGTCCTCTCTGTTTTTCATCTAAAAACGTGCATATACTAGGTCTTCTAACCCTAACTGTTGGATACTACTTTGATTACTCTTTTTCACATTTATGATAATTGAGATTTATAAATTAAGAATAAACGCCAATGGGAATAAAAGCCAAACTTCAAAAAAAACCATCCCAAATGCGCATGAGCAACATCCCCAAAATACACACATCTTTTGTCACTATATATATATATATATATATATATATATATATATATATATATATATATATAGTCAAGTAGATCCTCCGTGAGCGGTCCGGTCACACAACGCGGTTTATTTCGACGTTTCAGCCTAGAGTCTAGTTTTCATCAGAACTCGTGATGAAGGCCAGACTCTAGGCCGAAACGTCGAAATAAACCACGTTGTGACCGCTCACGGAGGATCTACTGGACTATATGCAACGCTACAGCCACTCAACCACCATGCCTGCATGTATATATATATATATATATATATATATATATATATATATGAAGCCACGTAGTAGACGTTGGTATCCCCTATCATGGAAAGCACACTCCTACGGGATGATGCTAATGTACCAGCGCTTTGAGTGGTCCCGAAGGAGACGCGATATTCGGCAAATGCCTCCCACGAGCGTATTTCACAATCGCTGCTCCGTGTGTGAGCTCCGCTTGTAATCATTCTTACAATGATTGCAGAAAGAAGCGTTTTTCAGGCCCGACGAAACTGGTTTTTCTTTCCGCGTGCCATTCCATCCGGTTCGTTTTTTCCTTTTTCTGTATGCGCTGTAAAGAAAGTGAAGTGCACATGTACAACCTGGCCGTCGGTAACATCGTCGGCTCGTTGGTCTAGGGCAATAAAGAAAGAAAAAAAGCTCGTTGGTCTAGGGGTATGATTCTCGCTTTGGGTGCGAGAGGTCCCGGGTTCAAATCCCGGACGGGCCCGCTGTCGTTCTTTTTTTCTGTATTATATTTTTGACAAAGTCTATTTTTTGATTAATATGCACCGCGAGGTCACTTCAAGCACACACACATCTGTCACTTTGTCTATTTCTCTCTTTCTCTCTCTTTATGTATCTCACACGCATACCAACTTACAAACAGAATGTTTTAATTTGGTAACATACAAGCAATAAATATTGAAACTTTACTCGGTTTCAGACACCCCCCCCCTCACCACCCGCTCATTAGTATGCGCTCCACAAGTACCACGACATGTCAACAACAAAAAAAGATATTTGTATGATCTGAGGCGATGTTGGCAAGCAGATACGGTACCGGCTACTAAGAGCAATCATGTATACAACATACAAAATACTTCATAGCAACCTGACAATTAGCACAATTTTTTAAAATAAAAAATGCATTGTCAGACAGAATTCTTACAGTTACGTCCGAACTTAAGTTAAGCGTTGCGCGTACAGTCGGCAATATAAGTAGCACCATTCTTGTGACAGAAAAAAAATTACTTTGAAAGCTACTGTGATACATGCCGTTTTTCAAGTTTCAGGAGGCTGGGCATGTGCTCGCTGGCTTATGCAGCTCTTCAATAATAACATATCGAGAAGTGATAGTCAGGATTGGCTAGAACATTCTCTAACGAGGGCAATTCGCGAATCAGTTCACTTCTGTTTCTAAAGAAAGTAACGGCAGAAAGACGAATGGCAGGGACGTCAACCAGTTCAGAAATACTTGTATGCTACCTTACAATGGCTAAAGGGGATGTACGGTGGGAGACGCTCAGCGGATTTCATGGTTGATGGCTGTCCCGTCTGCAATATCTTCTCTTCGATCGGGGCACCATCCGCGAACTTCTCTAACCATTGCAGTAAAACTCGTTCTGTGTTTAGTGCGCGTTGAAGAAGTTATACTATGGGCTCTCTAACCATCTCCGAAAATTTACTTTTCTCTCTTTTTTGCCTATGACTTGCGGTGGAGGTCAACACGCTGCAATAAATTCGCAGTCTTTCTCCTTTTCTTCCCTTCTTCTCCTCTTCCTCCTCGCCATTCTGTTGACTTCCCCCAATCTCCCAGTGTAGGGAAGCCAGCCAGAAGCCTTTCTGGTTAGCCTCCTTCATCTGTCCCTTTCTGTTTGCTTCCTTCCTTCTTTCTATTTCGTTTTAATCTCTTGTAATCTCTCCTTACCCGATCTCTTCTGAACCGCTGCTGATGTGTTGCAGTTTCCTGCGCACAGTTGAGGGGTTCACTTTTTTTCTTCGGTTTCCTTATTTATTTTTTAACCACCCCCCCCCCCGCTCAGTATGGTACTGTGATCCATAAAACAGAATGTCACTGCTGCCTTGTTTCCCGCAGTAGCCGAGGTGGACGAGACGTGGTCGGCTCGCGAGAACGACTCCTCGTCGCCGCCGCCGCCGCCACTGAGTCACGAGAAGCGGCTGATGGACTCGCTGCTGCGCCACTACGACGCCAGCGTGAGGCCCGTCAAGAACTCCTCGGAGCCCGTCATCATTCGGCTGGCATCACGCTCACGCAGATATTCGACCTGGTGAGTACCTGTACATACACGGCTTCACATTCTTCCTTATTCTTACCATTGCACCTGACACTCGTGAGACATGTCAACGGAAGGAACAAGTAAAGGTAGGAAGCATTGTGATGGCAAACAGCAAGGTCGATCAGAACCGGCAATCACTGGTAAGCTGTATTGAATAAAGAACATAAAGAACTTGGTAGGAAGGGGAAAATAGAAGGTTGCGATGAAAAAAAAAAATCTGTAACTTGAGAAAGACAAGACTGCTTGTCGAAACATCGGCTCGAGCCCATAACCTCTCTGTACGAACGTTTTCAGATGAATAAACATACAAAATATTACAGCCCAGCTTGACAAGATAATCATATAGACATTCACCTATAGTTTTCTATGGTGCACTATACGACTTCTTCAAGTAGAAATCGCTACCAAAGATCTCACTGCTTCTTCAAGTTTGTTCAATCGAAAAAGAAAAAGAGAAATGGCTTGTGGTGTGTCTACAAGAGTTTCTCTCTCTCTCTCTTTCTTTCCCTTTATCGCTGTGTTTAACCAGCCAGTGTTGTCATATATGGTGCGAGAAGTAACATTGCCCTAGACATGAAGCGACGCAATAAATTTCTTTTTTCACCACTTTATAAGGCCTAAAAGCTCTGCCACGGCCGCTACCTAAAAAAAAAAGAGTGGCTATGCTCTGGCCACGAGCAAAACTTCATCATTGCTGCTACAGCTTGACTAAATATTGTGGATTTTCAACAAAATTATGTTATCTCTGCCCTATATATTGCCGAAAAGATATGAAGGAAGTGAAAAAAAAAGCTAAAACAAGAAAGGTATGATCAGATCCCAAATGAGTTTTTGTTTTATTAACACTGAAGATAGAGAGTTGCCAAAAGAGTGAACTGTTACAGCACTGTCAACACCGAAAGTCAAGTGCTCTTTGAACTTCTTTATTACCTCTTGATGACTTGAAATATTGGGTCTTTTTCTTTCACACTATACCTAATAACATATGTGCTAAGTAATGGGTATCTTGTATGTCAATTAAGCACTTCAATCTATGCACATTTGCTAAATACCAGTGACTGAAATGTGACACGCATGAAAAGTTAAATACGATATATGCAAATGTTTTATTGGAGTTGCGAGGGAAGAAATTTCGTTAGAAATTTTATCAGTATAAGCAACTACGTGAAAGAGACACTAAACAAAACAATGACGTGATTTAGGTGGAGTTCGAATCGAGAAACTGCACTTTGATAACTGTAATGCTGTATTTTCACCTCAGATAATTAATAGCGGATAAAACAAGGTTGAAGCTTCAAGCTCCGCGCGTGACGTTATAATCTTAAAAATGTATTTTTTGCGTTTTTGCAACATTGGATTCATGAAATTTTTTAAATCATCGTATAGTATGCGTGTATGGCAGCTACAGTTGACAATCTGTGGTATTTTTATTCATTAGAAGCTATGTAGGACACAGTAGATGCCTTCAAAATCTACGACGTCACGGTGTTGGCATTAAGTGGCGTCTCCAGCCGCTTTTTTTTTTTCCTTTTCGCGCGGTTTCTTCGCTTACAAAGCGTCAGTGTCGAAGTAAGAGAGTTGTTCTCGTGATTGTGAAATTGTGCCTTAATAATACGCGAAAATTCCTGTTGCTCTTTAGTGTTCCTTTATTACGTCCCATACAGTTGAGCGCAGGTTCGGTATGACGATGCACATTTGCTTAAAGTTACACAATAAATAGGTACCTTGATGTGGTAAGTGAAGGAAAGAAGTTTACAATTTGATGGCCGTGTTTCTTCGTTAGACGCAATAATATAGCGATATAACAGACAATCATGCCAAGGAAAGTATGTATGGGGTGTTTTATGAGGTAATCGTAATGTAAATGTAATGAAATACAAGTGGATGAAAAGATAACTTGCCGGGGGCACGTACCGAACCTCTGACCTTCGAGCGTTATTCGAAGGTTTCAGAATTGGTCCCTGCCCATGGAAAGTTATCTCTTCATCCACTTTCTTTTCGTTACATTTGCATTACGGTTACGTCATATAACATACGAATGCTTTCCTTGGCACGATTGTCTGTTAGATCTCACTAATATTGTTGCTATAGGACAATTGACGACATGACTGCTTCTGGCGACAAAAACGGGCCTCGTAGGTAGCTGCGATGTTTTCTATAAATAATTAGGTAATCCGCGAATTTCGATCCGACAGTGCCTTCTCCATAAAAGCATCCTCGAGGTGCACCCAGGCAGTACTTTCGCTGTAGCTATCGCAATAAACGTAATGGCAGGGGGTTCGGTAAGGAGATTACGTGACTGATTACGTACAAAAAAAAGCACATGCGGCGATTTGAAATGCAACATAGTTAAGTAATTGTACTCGCAATTGTGAGTACAATACTGGGCACACCTGCTTTAAAACAGGTGCGCCCATCATAAAAGCGCCCTAGATTTTTTTTTTTTTTACGTCGAATTCTCCAAGGCTATTTTCGATATCACATGGCGGAACCAGAACGCTGCTTCGCGTAACCTTATGCCGAACGGGCCAACTCTTGATGTCTTTGTCTCCGCTAGCATAGCTCAATACAGCTCTAGGGTCTAAGTAAATATAGCTACTTCAGAGCGTGAAAATTCAAACTAAGCAGCGTAATCATCAGAAGCGAAGTAAGTATACATTATTATAAAATTAGTTCGATGCCTGCCGACATGGTGATTGTAAAGTAGAATGACAAATTTCACAGTGCATTATAAAGAAAGGCAGAGAGAAAGAGATAGAGGGGCGGGGATTAGAACTAACATTACGACGACTTCAAAAAGGGCCGAGCGGCGTAATTACGAAGCTTGCAAATTCGGTGGCGCGTAATAGTTTAAAGGCCCTAATCCTAGCTCATTTCGGTAGGCTGCTCGCTGGAATGGTGGCTGCTCGATGGCTGTAAAAGCGCGTCGCAATGTGTGCGGACAAACGCAGTCAGATGAAGGCGTAGCGCTGCTTTTCGCCATTAGACGTCTCATCGACTGGCCGGGGTTAGCATTTGGTTTTACGCGGTCATCCGTTGTGGAAAGAGCAGGTTGACGCCGTTCGCGAGCACAGCGTGCATGCCCTGGGCGTGTGTAGCGTCGTAGCAAACTGCCCCGAACCAAGCAGGCTGTCGCGACGCAAGATTGTCTCGCTCGTTAATCTCGCAGCGGGTCTCCGCAGCATCTAATAACTGATTCCGGCACGCTTTTGAAAGAAAAAGCTTTGTCGTAGAAAGCGTCTGCTGGATTGTTTCCTAACTTACAGGTTCCATGCGGTGAAGCTAGAAGCTCGTTCTCTCGAAAAGCATAACGTTTTGCTTGTTAGTATCTGTCGACATGTCCAGGCTGTTGACATATGTCATGTACTTTTATCAAATGGTGGAGTAATCTGTCAGCGTTGACGGTGCACAAGTAGCTGCGGTCAACAAATATGAGTATTTACGTTTCATAACCTAATGCTTTTCATCGATTGCTTCCGTTGGCATCTATGCACACTGAAAAGTGTATTGCAGTCATGATCATGAAATATGAGTACACAATAAATAAAGTACCCCATCTTCCTCAAGTGAAAAATACCAACAGTATTTAAGAAAAATATAATAAAGCAATGAATAATAAGGACTATTTGTAGTGTGAAAGGTGGAAGGCGAAAATCAATGGGTGTAATGACGTGGAGGTTAGTTAGTAATTAGACAGACTAGTCACCCTGTGCTGTGAAAGAAAGATGAGAAGAGTGAAAGATGATATAAGAGGAAAATGCTTCTAAACAGTTGGTATAAAAGACAGAGCACCAACATTAGTAACAGTGGACATGGTCCTGGTGATCACCCACGTATCTGCAATAGAAGTCTTTACAATAATGGTCAATAACTATATAAGCCTCCGATAGCTCCAGACAAGTAAACACGTTAGTATCCTGCAAATTTCTTATGGTATAGATCATTTCAAGCCTTCATTGTACAAGGATGTCCCATTCTGCAGTCAGAGTCAACGAAAAGGCGTCTTGTTTGCATGCACTGCCAATACCAACTGGGCCTCGTCTATGGTGCTTGATAAAATTAATTTATATTTTCTCACGAATGTGCGATGTGACTAGCAAGATTAACAGGAAGGTTAAGGTGAGTTTATATGGCAGCCGTAGAACACACTGTATTGGTTCGCAAAACAACGTAGTGACAATATTGCCCGCACAGAAGAAAGTAAACAAAGCTGAAGAAGGCAGGGAGGTTAAGCAGTAACATGGCCGGTTCCCTACTTAACGCTGGGGAAGAGGGGGTTGGAAAGCGTCACGTTAGCCCCAGAAAACTAGTCAGCACCGACACGTACCCTTTTGCGTATCACTGGATTAATAACATTTTTCCTAGCCATCCGGGTGTCTTTCTGGTTAACCTCCCTGCCTTCTCCCTTTTGTTGCTTCCTTCCTTCCTTGATGACGCTACCGAAGAGGCAGCACTTTCAAAGTTTTTGGCTAGAATATATCTTTTGAATAGCTGCGTGTTGAGTTCGAACTTGGTGCGTTCACCGAATGCCTTCATATTGTTACTGCCTTGCTGACGGTGAGCCCACGCCATGACGGAAGCGGGGCCACTGAATTGGCGGAACAGCGGCTGTCTGTCGGACATAAAGGACGCGAAGACCCACGTCGCCAAAGGGGCCTAGTCGTGGCGCCTTTCTGAAGACAAGAGCCGAGTCCGGCTGCTAGGGTGGAAGGTGCACTTGCGCTCCACTGTGGGAACCGAAACCAGCGGCAGCGGCGGCATTGATACAAGGGCCAATTATACTGTTGGCCTGTCAGCCCAGCGTTGCAGGCACGTACCCAGAAGGTGCGTTCCCACGGCTCATCGACGCCGGACGTCGAACGTTCCAGGACCGGAGTGAACGAGGTTGAGCGGCGACTATAGAGGTAGTGGTTCTCCGAGGAAGATCCGAGGAGGCAGGACTCCGTGCCTGCCGCCTTCAACGGCACCCAACCGGGAGTCGAGGAGAGAGA